GTTCGCAACATCACAAATTGTTCGTCTGAAAGAATACCTGTTTTATATTATAAAAATATCAACATCTTGTTTTTCTTAAAACAGCAGTATTAAAATACTACAGTGCACACTAAACTACACTGTCTGCTAATGAACTGTCTGATCCAGTATTTCAATAATTATTACATTAATTGTTTCTAACGATGGCGATGAGACCAAAGAAAAAAATGAATTTGTTGACGAAAAGAATAAAAATCTCATCTCGTTCTTCACCATTATAATTAAAAATGACTAGCAAAACATTCATTGTCGACCGTTTTACGCAAGAACAGTTTCAAACTTTCTAACCATTAGTCGGCGCATTAACATCACCATGGATTACCGGAATATATTGAGAGCTAAACGTGAAGTAAGTAGACAAAAATACCTCTATGATAACTTTGTCGCAGACGTAACCGATCCTTTGAAACTGCGAGCTCGAATCAGGAGAATTTTCGCCGGCGGTTACAGCTACTTCGTCCTATAAAACGTGAAACCGAAAAGTAAACGGAACAGCAGAACAGAGTAGCTGTCTACTCACGGATAGCTTTCCAGACGACTCGCTAATATAGGGGAAATCAACCCAGGTTTCGCCTTCCGCGTTGCATTTGCCGTCTTGATTGCTCGAATGCTGCTGCAACGCGTTCTAAATGACAGCCTTTCCATCAGATAAGGCAAAAGGCAATGACAGCAAAAATTCCCAGAAGAGGCCACATTTCCGAAGAAACAAGGGTGTTGAAACGTTGGTAGTGCTACCAGCTAAGAAGCAGTGATGAGGAAGAGTTATTGCTCTATCCAATAAAATGATGCGATACTCTGCAGGTGCACAAATACCATGAAATCTTAAATAACATCCTATGAATCCCCGAACATGAGTGCAGCGCTATATGTCATAAAAGCCAATCTGGTGGAGCTACGCAATTATTGGCATACTTCTGGCGTAGAAATCTATATATGCTAAGGTGAATTATGCAAAACAATGAATAAAACTAAGTTATGTAATTTATTTGTTTCTATTTAATAGAATTTTTTGCTGTCGGAGCATATCTCCTATGTGAAATGTAAATCTATGAAATACTTGACCTTAGTTGTTCGCCGTAGCTCCAAAGAATATAACCCCGATGACGAATCAGGAATGGATGGAGCGCATTTTTTCATGAAGAAACGTTATTATCCATCAAATAAATAAAATTCACAAAAGACTCCACAAAATCATAATGTATCTGTCAATTCAGGTAATGCTTGATCTTATGTTTGTAGCTGCGAACCTAATTTGCAAGTATGTAGCGAAAAAAACAAGTTCACATGTAAGTTTGCCTTCGTCTTCAATACAAGACCTACACTATTGTTTCTTTTCACTTACCTTTACAAAATAACGTGTCTGAATGACAATAAGTGGTCATCTTATCAGCAGGAAAAGAAAAAGCGTTCTCCGTCTTCAGAAACAATCGTGAACATGGTTTTCTTGTATGCACAAAAAGGACAGGCGTCATTTTGACGCAGTTAACTTTTCGAAATGGAGCTGTGACATTTCTGGGTATGGTTATAAATCGAAGATGACAAACTACAATAATAAGGTCGTTAACTATCCAATATGAAACGCCTCTACCCGCGACAATTTGTAGCTACTCGCGTAAAGAGCGTATAACCAATAACTTGGACAGATTTATGGAAATACGATATAAGAAAAATAGTACTGAAAGAGGACATAAGTATATTTACGTCGGTCTACAGAAGGACAGATGAATTAAAGAAATATTCGCAAACCAATATGAAAAGATTCTAACGGTTGAGAAAGTAAGAGGATTGGAGAACGTGGCGAAACCTCCGTAAAATTTCGCCTCCAGCCCTTCATGGTAACCCGGTCATCGAAAATTATACCGGCTCAATCATCACCCGGATTATCAGTGGCGGCGCAAGCTAGTGGGGGACTGAGGCAGGCTGCGAAAAGACAGCCTTCACAACCCGCTCATTGTCTTCTTGCAGCTGGGGGACGTAACAATACAACGACGGCTGACGAAGATG